CTGTCGTTTGTGCATCTGCCTAGAAGAAATACTTGGAGAAAAGAGGGACTTGCTATGCTCTACACTCATGAGTGCAAGCCAACTACCCTTTCTCAATGAGGTCAGAGCACTGCAAATAGATTATGACCTCCACAACTTATGCCCAATACTGAGAAGCAGGAAGACCATATGATGTTCTTCCAAGAGGCAGGGTTATTGAGGAAGAGGGAGTGACAGTTTTCTGCATGAAATAGTCATGCCACTAGGAAAAAATAACAAAAAAGTTGTGTACTTTTCCTCTCCACAGTTGCTTCTTGGCTGCAAAGGTGTTCTTCAACAGAATGAACGGCTGAAAGGACCTCTAACACAGTTCTGCAGATCTTTGGGGAAAGTCTGTGGCAGTGTCATACTCCACATAGCTGGGGGCAGATTACAAAATCTGAACACGGTAAGTGTGTCCAAGAACACCTTAATACAAGTAACGCTAAAGTGATTTTGAAGGAAAACCACTTCTCTGCCTTATGCCTACGTACAGTTGCAGTGACATAGAGAAATGTGTTGGGGTTTTCAAGTAATGCCAACTAGGATCTCAGCTGACAATGACATGTGCCACCTGACACATTCAAATCACACAAGGAAGAAGGGTTGAATTCAGAAAGGTTCCATCTTTCCATGATCTTCCTCAGTGTTCCCTCTTCTGGGGCTAAGACAAGGAAAAGTTGGACAGATATCAAAGCTTTACAGAATGGGCAAATAGATGGAGAAAGATCTTATTTTCTTTTGCACAATTCCTATTCTCTTTCCTGAATGGGAAGATATCCAAACCACCTTGAACACAAGAGATGGTTTCTTCTTGGTTGCTACATCTCAAAATATTTCCAGCCAAAACTCAAAGCTGTTTCTTCACTCTCCTCTCAGCAGAATGATCTCATTCCTTTACTCTGGCTGCTGCCTTTTTCTTGCAGACCCTCCACACGTCTGTTTGCTGGTACCTTTTGATCTCTCCTGCTCAGACTGCTTTCATATAGAAATCTCCCACACTTGTAGCCTCATTACGCTCAAGCAGACAGTCTCTTCCACTGATGAAGCACAGCACTATTTAAAAGCCTCACACAAACTTTAGAACCTAGCGAAATAAAGGCCATAGGCACTGCCCAAATTATGCTTTCCACATGTTTAAGGACTAACATGGGAAAGACCCTCCCAAACAGATAAAATGATATAGACTTATTCCTACTGTCAAATCATGTACTTGTAAGTCTCCCCTAAACCTTCTGTAGAAAATCTGAAGACTACCATACTAAGAGGGGAGTTTAACAGAGCAGCATTATGTTGCTCAGATCCTTCACAGCTTTAATCCCTACCTTTGTAGTGCTTCTGCTTTCTCTCCAGAGTCGAACAGATATAATTGTCGGACATTATCCTGCTGGAACTTCAGTACAGAACGTTCTTCATTGGCATCAGGTATAACTGCCTGCTGATGTATAAACAAACTCTTACTACTGCTTTAGTGTACCAAGCAACTTCCAGAGAAGTCCAGAGGTGATATTTTGCCAGCCTCTAACCAAGGCTTGTTAAGTGGCTACAAAGCTAACACAGATACACCAGAATAGAAGAAAACAGCAAAGGCAGGACAGAAGCAGATTTTTAACACATCACCAGTTACTTGAAGCCTTGAAGTAAAGGTCTTCTAAACAGACTTTATCTCCCTCTGATATATACAGCCATTCACACATGAAATTATTTGTCAGGTTTGGGCAAAAAATAAAATAAAGTGATGTAAAAAAAAACCCACCACAATTGAACCCCCCCACCAAAATCCCACAACAAACAGATGGCTGCATAATTCTTCATTCATCGATCCTACAGGGCATGTGTCATGTCTTTTAAATGCAGACCCCAAACCTCTGGTGCCTTCTGTCTAACGTCCCACCTCAAAACTGCTGTCAGAGTGCAAGTCATGTATAGTCAAGCTCTTGTAAGAAGTACAGAGCCTCTGGAAATTTTGCCACTACTGTAAGCAGACCAGACAAAACTGACACACAAACCACAAGACAAATATGGAGAGATCTTACATTATGCTAGATTAGTAAAAGCCCTGACATATTCTAGGCATTCAGGTCCTCTTTCCACATGGAAACTGAATCCAACACTGCATCACAAACAGGAACTCCACATTTAGTCAGCTAAGATAGCCAAGCCAAATTTGAATACCAAAACATAGCAAGGATGGCAGCTGAGGATGAGGAGAGAACATTAGCAAGGAGAAAGGCAATGAAGCCACTCGCCTGGCAATCAATCCTCAGTATCCCTGGAAACTTGCAACTAGAGGAAGGGGTGGGAGTAACCCACAGTCCACTGCCTGAGCCTTGGCTTCAATCACAGGCAGGAAAATGTGTCCTGATCTCTGCCTCTTGCTCTCCTAGCACTTATATTTTACCTGTTCTTTTAACAGATTTCATACGCAGGCCAATTTCAAGCTTATGACTATGGCTCTAAGGAAAACATTAGGAAATACAACCAGGTAAGGCAATGTGGGATTTCCTGAAAACACATCCTTGAGCCTTGGCAAAACTAAGAACAGAAACATTCAGATTTTTAACACCTTGCGTGACACTGAAAGAGGGAGAGAGTGCTCTGATCTAATGTTTCACTGTAACCTAACACTCATAAGTGCAAAACCCTATTTGAAGACAAGACATAGCTCTTTGCAGACAGCTAACACAAGTTCAGTTTATCTCCCCTACTGATGCAGGGATGTGTCCAATGACATATCCATTTACCTGCCATTCCAAAATGACTCAGAGCTACACTCAAGATGGGATTCCGATGGAGCTCTTCATTTCCCCACAAATCCTCAAGGTCTGCCTTTCTGTTGAGAGGTGAAGTGAATCTCAGAGCTGCAGCAATCTCTCCAATTGGCTGACAATGATTTTGTTGAAGCAGCACATTTGACTTGCAGTGTCTCGTGCTGTACCAGGGCAAGCTGCTTTCCACGGACAGGAAGGCTCTAGAGATAGACTTGGTCACTTCTGTCCATGCACACCATCTGAGAAATTTTCTAGGGTAAAATTACACATGGTCAAAGTATTTCCTTGCCACTTAATTCACAAGCAAAACAACTAAGACCAACAGTTGCACTCCATGCCATTACAAAACTGGAAGATCTTCCCGCCCTAAGGAAACATATGGGTAAACTCCAAGGCCTGGCATCATAAACACAAACACTGCTCTTTCCCTGTCCCCACCAACCAGGTGTCAGACTGCAAGGCCATTTATAGCCAGGCACTAGAGGAGCAGGATGGAGCATTCCCTTTCACTGTAGGCAGGGAAGGTGGTTGGGAAACAGACACTGCAGAGGCTGGCCTGGACCAGTGCAGAAAGGAAAGAGAGAGGTGCCTGCACAGAATCCCTCCTCTAAACACTACTTTGGGTACAACAGCACTCACTCAGCTTTCCTCCCTTTCTTACAGTCCACTCCTCCTGTGTACCAGATAGAGAAGATAAACATTCCAACTGCTGTCTGGAGCGGGGGACGGGACAAATTTGGAGATCCAAAAGACATGGCCAAGCTACTTCCTCAGATTACTAATCTCATTTACCATGACCATTTTCCTGCTTGGGGACACCTTGACTTCATCTGGGGCCTTGATGCAACTGAGAAAATGTATGAGAAAATCATTGAAATAATGACAAAATATTTTTGAAACCACATGCACAGTGTCAATTCACTCAGTAAAACTTCAGAAATTGATAAACACACAGGCACATACAATAGATACCTGTCTAGGTCTTTATCTGCACTTGTTGTTTTTTCCCTGCTTACTTCACATTTGGTCTTACTGTGACTGCTGTATTCCTCAGAAATTTGAGGTGTACAGAAATGAAAGCTGAAGCTGAGTAGATATGAGCGCACACTGCAGGGGTCACTTAATTTGATCAGCTTGTATTTATACAAGACTGATTTTCCTTGTCCTACACTCCATTGTTCTTCTGTCTCTCTCATGTACCCCAGAGTATTCCTGTGCCAAATCTGTGTCTCTCCATGAAGACTCCATAGAGGGATCTTCCCATTTCTCTATTGAAGCATCACTGACCTTAGTTTAAATTAAATCATTTATCCACTTGACAGAGATCTTGGCTTTTTTCCTTCTTTCATCCTCACATTTACCTACAGTGTCAATACAGCAGCTTTTGAAAGGAGACCCTCCTTTATTGCTGCATAATTAAATCACAAAACACCAGCCCCCATTAATACATTACTTACCACTGCAGGTTTTATTCCACCTTCAGACATAGAACACCTTCAGATGTCTCTTTTCCCAGTGATTCATATTGCAGAAAGAGAAAGGGTACCAGAATTTTTTATAAGCTGCTGTGACATGCTATTCAGTCATCAGCTGTATCCCCTATGGAAGAAGTAACACACGTTCTAAAGGATATTTTATTTTTGCTTTGGCTGCACAACGGACACTTGTATTGTTTAAGGTTCAAGAAATGCCATAGCTAAGCTGTCAAAATCCACAGTCTGCACAAAAGAGGTAATAAAACTGGGGAAGCAGATGGGAAGGGCAATATTTTGAACACTGCTCTAATCATTCATGGCTTAGTGAAATCACACTAACTCCTTCCAGCCTACATGGCTGTGGAGGTACCGATAACTCGTCTTTGTCAGATAACAGCCCTCAAAACTCTGCAGGACTCCTGCTGCTGTGCAAGACACATTTCCAGATGAGGCAGTTTTCAGTAAGGTCAAGAGTTCTTGATGACTAGGAAGTTTTCCTTAGCATGCTTTCAATGTTGTGGAACTGCAGTCTTCTTGCTATATCTAAGGGAGTCTCCCCATTCTGAAAGAAAGACAAAACACAGCAATACGGTACATATGGTTGAAGTGCAAAGAGCTTTCCAGAATTTGCAACCCAGATGCAGTGCTCTCCTGCCTACCTTTCATTTCACATCCTTGCTCTAAAGCAAAGGTTTCAGACCATACTGGGTCTAAGACGACTATCACTGAAGCCAACACCACAGTGGTCCCCTCTCCTCCAGTGGTGGCAGCGATTCCACTGTTTCCCAGGGCTCCTGCCCAAAGTCAGTACAGAACTAAGCTAAGAGCTCATTTCAAGAGCAACAAGGGCAATACATTGCTCACCTCAACTCAGCAATGTAGATACTCCCTGGCCAATACTTATTTAGGAAACCTCTGAGATTTTCTGATGACAGAAGCAGCTTGACTTCTGTCCCAGCCAGAAGAATGGTGTCCAGTGACACAAAAAGGAGCTAGGAGGGCTCTTACCACTCCCCTGCAGCCTGCATCTTAGGAACAACTGTAGAGCAGCTGCAAATTAAAAAGAGGTACCATAAAGATAGCCAAGAGGTCTGCCAATGCAGTGAACATGAAGGCAGTAATGGGAGACATACAGCGGCTAAAATCACTTTTCCTGTCCTCATAAGAGAGGTACTTCGGTCCTCAGGTAATTTTCATGGCCCTTCTTTGGACACATTCCCACAGGTCCACAACTTTCTTGTGCTGGGGGCA